GAAAAAACATGTACATGCACTGAAAAAGATTTCACATACCTTGGTTGCTTTCGCTGACTTTCTCAGAGGCATCGTCCATAGAACTGGAGTCTTCAGGCGGCAGGCCCGTTTCCGGTTCTGGTTCCGGTTCCGGTTCGCTGTCCTCATCTGACTCTTCACCAAACAAGTCGGTGTTGCTGATTTTGGTCAAGTTTAACCTAGGTTTGTGCCTTGCGGTTACAGGGAGCTTAGCAGCATGCTCGCGCTTCTTTTCCTGTTTCGCCTTTTGAGATTCATCGTCGTTTACCTCCTTTTCTGAGGACCGTCGCTTTGCCTTTTTGTCCGTTTTCCCTACCGAATGTTTTCCGTGGCGTTCCTCATCGCAAATAACGACCGTCGTCTTCCTCCTAAGTTTTTTGCTAGAAGCGACGTCCTCACAAGGTTTTCGCTTAACGGACGATAGAGAATGGTTCGCCTTTGGTGAATGCAAGTTTGATTTCTTGGCAGCAGCTTTCTTGTCATTCAAACTTGGTTCATTCGCGTCAGAGGTACGATTACGCTCAGCCAACTCCATGCTGTCCGTCTCGTTCTTCGTCTGACCGCTGACGTCACAGCTATCTTTTTTCAGAGGCCCATCGCCCACGTCACAGAATAACACCTCGTTGGCAATATTGTAGATGGTATTTGACTTGTGCACACTGTCGAACGCAAGGGCCTTCACATTATCACACTTAGAATGCGGATCTAACTTCGGCATCAACGGTCTCACGGCAGTCGTCGTCGAAGTTACTGCTGAACTGGAAACGTAGTCGTCCTTGACGAGTTTGTTTCGCGAAGCCTGCCGCTTTTCTAATTCCGCAATCGGCGTCGGTTTGTAAGTGGCCCCGGTGCCTAACTCCATGAACGTCACTCTTCCCGATTTTGTCCTCTTACCTGAAATCCTTCCGCCTTCTACTTTCAGCGCCGGCTTCATCGACGGTTCATAACCGTCCCGGTCGTTCACTATGCCGACGCTGCCTTTCTCGCACTTCTTCGTATTTGCCAGCGTTTTCTGCAGTTGTACGATGACCGTGTTCAGAGTAGCGAGGTTCTTGGCCACGTCGTCTAACGATATCGCCGAGCCCGGTCCATACGTCGTAGACCTCTGCAAGGCGCTCACCGCAGTGGTCACGCTGCCGAGGTCAATGTTCAGAGTCGGGTACGCTTCAGTCATCGTTGTTGGCGGCTCCGCTGGCGGTACGGTGGGATTCGTGTAATTTGCTACCGTTGTACTTGAAGCAGCGGCTTCTCCATAGGTATGCTGGCGGGGCTGCGGCTGCATTTTATCATCATCTCGAGCAAAGAACCCATGGTAGCCTTGAAACTGAGATGTTCCGCTGGTAGAGTAGCTGGGTACATCATCGTACGCCAACGACGACGACGCCACACCAACGCAGTCTATCGACGCTGAAAGCAAACCAAAAGCACTGTATAACTGAATGAAAAACATCAACGAAAACTGCTGAACCAAACACTAAGGAAAAATTACCCTATGAGGTCCTAGTGTTAGAAACTCATGCAAAATAAAATGACTAAAACTAAAATCATTGTTCAACAAAAGTTGAATCACGGTCTGAAAAGAAATTTCCTCAAGCTTGCTTAA